TAGAAACATTGTTTGCACGGCCACTCGGTGAGGAATATCCCTGAATGTTCCACACACACTGCGTCTCGTCACGTGACTTCAGCACCTCTAACAGCTCTTCATCCTTCTCCCTTGAGCCGTTCCACCTGCCAGGAGCCCTTGTAAGGAGCAGTGCTCAGAATAAATCACAGGACTCACCGTCCATCATGGGGACGTCCCCTGCTGCCTGCCCCTCACTCAGCTAACAAGCAAAGGTCCGAGAGACCTCAGGGCGATCCCTTAGAGGGAAGGATGCCAAGAGCCGTGGCCACGTCACATCCTTCTTGCCTGTCAAAAGCAGTAAACTTCGGACTGCCACGTCTTAAAACATCCTTCAGCTCCAGAATTGTCCCTGCTAAGGAATGAACAGGCTTATGCATGCTGTCTTTTTTACCAGCTTTTGGTACCCCCTGCTGGTGAAATTGTGTGACCCAATTGGCAAGAATCTCAGAACAACTAGAGAGGAAAAAAAAATCCCGAAGTTTAGAAAGTCATAAGTTCTTAAGTCTTGAAGGCTCTGAGGATTCCATGAATTATATAACCATCCCATGAGCCATGTGACTATTTTATGAGCTAAAAAAAAAATTCTATAGCTGTGGATATTCTGTGGGCTCTAGGGGTGAAAAAAAATTCTCTGATTTCTGTGACTACTCCATTAATTTTGAAAGCATTCCAAGAGGGAGATGTTAAGTTATTAAACCAAAAATATTCCTAGGTACAAATATTTCAGGTCACAAACTCATTTAATACAGGTTTTCTCTTCTCTTTCTTTGCACGAATCTACTTTTCAAGTGGTTATAATTCGGGTTCAGAGTAGGGGATAACCATCTCTTCTACACTTCAAATCATAGGCTTTTAAATATAAATTTGCGCAACAAATTTATTGAGCACTGGCTGTGTGCCAGACACTCAGCAAGAAATTGGAGTAGGTGCAGAAGTCAAAAGCCCTTCTTCCAAGAGATTCTCGTCCTAGTGGGTGAGAGAATTGAATGACTGCAATTTGGCCAGACAAGTACTTAGTTGACATGGCACCAAAGCCTTCCCTGATCTCTTGCCAGGGTTCAAAGCAGGTTTGAACTCTCTCAAAGCACCTGGTGTTTCTTCTTGGCATCCATCATCTTCGTGATTTTATCTTTATCCATTTGATGCCTGTCTTTGCCTTTAGTCTCTGTATTCCATGAGGGTCAAGGTCAAGAAGGTATAGTCTTCTTATATTTAGCAGAGACCAATGCATGCACTCAATCGATAAATACTTGTTCAGGGCGGCACCTGTGGCTCAGTGGGTAGGGTGCTGGCCCCACATGCTAAGGGTGATGGGTTCAAACCCAGCTTTCGGCCTAACTGCAACAAAAAAATAGCCAGGTGTTGTGGCGGATGCCTGTAATCCCAGCTACTTGGGAGGCTGAGGCAAGAGAATCGCCTAAGCCCCAGGAGTTGGAGGTTGTTGTGGGCTGTGACTTCATGGCACTCTACTGAGGGTTAAGTGAAACTCTGTCTCAAAAAAATAAATAAATAAAAATTAAAAAATATATATTTGTTCAGTGGTTGATACAACCAAAAGGAGAAGGCTGTGTGTCCGTCTAGAGTTGCAGGGAGAAGGCTCCAAGGAGATGTGACATTTGAATGACATGGAGCTTTGGAGAATAAAAAGGAGGTGACCGGTGGGGAAGAATGGGGATATATTAAGAAAGATAGCGTATTGAGGAATGATGAGTGGGGAGAGGGGGAGAGGAGGCTGATGTTTTCTGAAAGGAGATGGGTATAGAGGATCCAGCTCAGCTGAAACCTAGATTCCCATAGTTTGGGGATCTGGTATACCCTGTTCAGAGATTTAGGTCGTTCTGTCTCAGGAGGAAACGTTTTTAGAAGAATGGTAAATTAGACTCTTTGATTATGGGAATGCAGATCAACTTCCCTTGTTACTGGGAGGGTTTGTAAGAACCTCTATCTTGAATTTTGAAAGAATAGAGATAGGTCCCCAAACTATGGTTTAGTGTTTTCCTTTCTTTGACATACACCCCATTCATTTCCTTGGAGCTGTGCTTACTTATTGCCAGAACATCTGTCTATACTTTTCCAAATTATCACACAGCATCATTACCGCCATCAACAGGCCGTGTCAGCCATGAGGTAGGCACTAAGGATGCCAAGTACAACTAAGTTCGCTTTTCAGCTTTTAAATATCTGTATTTGGGGGGAGGCTTAGCTTTTCATTTTTTTTTAAGTACAGGTGTTCAGCCCAAACATTTCTATAAAATGCCATTTTTCATAAAAGCAGCAAGGCCTTTTTTATTGTTATTATTCCTTTGGAAACCAGTGATTTGTGCCTAAGACAACCCTCTCCGTATTATTTTATTCTGAGTGGAATGAGATTGGCTGGAAGTTCTGTCCCCAAGGAAATATCAAAGCCTCCAATACGTACTCAGTTATAGTTTTAAAGTTAACTCCCTTATCGGATTTCTTTTTATTTCCTGCTGGGGCCATGTGAGCTGAGCTCAGACAGAGGCAAAGGAGCTGCCATATATCTTTTCAAATTTATGATTAAGAAGGTCACATATACATTTTTAAACACACTCCTTTTTGATAATAAATGAAGAATAAAATTTTGAAATGTCATCAGCCGCAGAATTACTCATTTTTCTTTCGTCGGCGTTCCCACTTTCCCTAATTGCCTGTTGGTGCTGAGGAAGGGCCCGGACGATCCAATGCTTTATTCCGCGGGGCTGCTCTCTCTGGCTGGAATCGTCTCACCTGTAGAACGGTGTGCCCGTGGCCAAAGCATTACAGTCGAAAGATGCCTTCCCATTCCCGAGTGCCCTTCTTTCCCCAAGCCAATCTTCAAAAGCAAATAAAGGAATAATTTTATTGTAGGCCAAAAATGAGGGCTATAAAAAAAATATTTCTCTTCTTGGTCAGGATCCCTGGAGCCAGATTTCTCCACCTTTCTCTGCTGTGCTCTCTGCTTCCAGACGGTGTTCTGTATGGCCCCCATCAAACGACTGCTTGCCCCCTCTGGCTTTGCATTGGGTTTAGCTGATGAGAGCCACCCCTGGAGATGAGAGGAAGGGAGGAGGGTGTAGTCAGAGTGCATCTTCCTCTGTCTCGCTCCCGAGGAGGTTGCCCAGAGCTGGCTGGGCTCCTCAAGAGAAAACCACTGCTTCCGTTCACACCCTCTCCTTTTGGGTGACTCTTCCTCTCTTTGTCCCCTCTGGATCCACAGGTGGTATGCAGCTCTCCTATTGCTGACTTACATCGTGGGTCCCCTACCCACTTCCCACCTTTCTCAATAGCCTTTTTAGGAATAAACTTTCCTTCAGTTATCCTTATTTGAGTGGCATCTGTCATTCTTCTGCACAGTCTGCACCTAGATCACGAGACTTATGTTTTAGGGAAGATACCATCAAACTGTTACTGGCCCTTGGTGAACTTTTCTAAAACACTTTTAAGTCTAGGTTTATTCTTTCCTTTAATACTTCCTCTGGCAAGGAGCTCATTGCCTCCTGAAACTGCCGATTTCACTATCAGGCGGGATCGACATTGGAAAATTATTATCTATATTGCACTGGACTTGACCTCTCTGGGACACCTCCTCTTTCTGTGTTGAGACAAGAGTGATCAAGATCAAATTTGAAGCCAAGTTTTGTGAAGGATGGCTCCAGGAGACCTGGAGAAATGTACCCTCTGGATGTTTAATGTTTAACCGATAACCTCTCCTGTGATAGGAACGTAAGAACTCTATTTAGATGTACATATGTTGGAAAAACTCAGAGGAACCAGGTTGACTTTTTAGAAACATTTGAATAACTGCTATGTGTAAGAGGGGTTAGTCATATTATTATATCTAAGATCTATCAATTAAAATTTAAGAGAAGTAGATTTCAAATCCATTAAAGAGGAACTTTTTAACCTTTCAGGTCCCTGATGAGATATTAAAGTCTATCCATGAATTCAGAGAATGATGGGATTTCACAGTGGGGCTGTTGGAATATAGTTGGGCCAGTTGGCAAGAATATACAGACAAGAACAGCAACTGCCATGTTTTGAATGTTCACTATGTAGTGGGCACTGTTTTCTGTGTATTTTATGCATTGTTTCATTTAATCATTGAAACTCTGTAAGACTGGTCCCGTTATTTGCCATAGTATATAAAAGAAGAGCTCAGGACTTACAGGGGTAAAGGGATTCGCTCCGGTCATGTAGCTAGCTGGCAGGCAGTAGAGGTAGGCTGTGAACCCAAGTCTGCCTGAGGCAAAGCTGATGATTGTCAGAATCGCCTGGGGAACTTGGGGGCCAGGCAGAGGTCTAGACCCCATCCTGCTTCCATGATCCTGGGCCTCTGTGTGCTTTATCAGCTATTCAAGTAATTCAAAATCACACCAAAATTTAAGAACCACTAGTCTACACTATCATTGTTTTGATGCCCATCTGGTTCTGAAGGTCTGTTATTCTGTTATGGGGGTAACTACACATCAAGTCCAGCTGTAAATTTCCTCCTTTTCTGCTATGAGATTAACCTCAACCTTACCCACCACCAGCCCTTATGTATCTATCGTTATTTGGCAGGATATTTATCAGCTCAGTCCCCTGAGAAAGGCCAGGCTCCATTGTAAATCTCATTCAGAGCCACAGAAACAGAAAGGCCAGTGTGACCTCTTCCCCCACTGCAAGGAGAGTGGCAGAAACACCACACACATCTCACCAAGTTCTTCTTTTAAGATTGAGTGTAGAACATGACTATTGTTTGGGTAGGGCAGCATGAGGCTCATATTTCTGAGTAAATGGAACCCACTAATGGCTTCAGTAGGACCTAGGTCTATTCCACCTTGACGTTGGAAGGCTTGCCTTGACTCCATTTCTGCAGAACGAGCCAGATTTGGGGGTTGAGGGTAAGGGGTTGGGAAGAAGAGAAATCTATCTTCCCAAAACTTTAATGCAACTGTCACCATCTGACTGTGGTTTTTCCCCTTGCACATGTCCCAAAGGAAGCTGGCCAAGAAGCAGAAGGAGACACAGAGTGGAGCCCAGAGGGAGATGGGGCCCGTGGCCTCAGCCGACAAACCCACCACCAAGCTCAGCACCAGCCGCAACGAGGAAGGCTTCTCCTCCAGTTCTCAGGATGTCAACGGATTCAGTGAGTTGAGTCAACTAAGGGGAAGGGATACCTGTGGTCCAGCTTAGCCCTGGTGTTTCCTCTGTGGACCCCTCACAGTGATCAACTGTTATAAGGCATGGGTTCCGGATGCTTCCCTGAGATGGTCCATGATGAAGGTTCACCTTTGCAAAGACTGTCCAAAGGTGAAAATGGGGTATTTGAGAATCTAGCCCAAATCCAGTGCAAATGAGAGCAAGTCACCCTAAAAGCTTGTGGACATAAATAGAGGCAGGTTAAAAATAACAGTAGTTAAAAAAAGAAGGAGGAGGAAGATGGCTATGCCCTTGAGGAGAAAAATGTGTTACACTGAATTGAGTGACTTAAAACTTCCAGAACTGTGCTTTACATATACCAGGTTAGGTGAGTGAGTCATGGATTATCACGGTTTCCATTCTAGTGGAAAGGAGACTCGGAGAAGCAACCCTGCAAAGTCCCCCAGCTGGCGAGTTACACCCAGACTGGACGCTATTGCCTCTCGATCTGTGGCCAGTGTGCTCTGCTATGGCTCTGCTTGCTCTGCTCCAAGTGGCCTTTAGCCAAGACCACCTGAGTCTTCTTGCTGAGTAAACAAAGAAGCTCAAGCTATCATGAGTGGTTAAGATTTCAGGGTTAACCCCTATCCAAAGGAGAACCCCAGGACTGCCTGGCTTCTTGGGGATCAGACTCAAGAGAGCTGGCTTTGTCTTCTTCTCACAGTTCTTCTCTTCCAACCATGATGGACTCCAGTTAATAGACTGGCTTCCCCCGCCTCTGTCCCAAATTGGGTAATGCAGGATCCGAGCATAGATGGATGTCCTCCATTTACCATGGAAATTGCAAATGGAAGAAACCACATTTTGTAAAAAGCACTTAAGATATGATCAGTTGGGGATGATAGGGATCTCTGAAAAGATAATGGAAGAAAGGAAACAAATACCACGTATTCTCATTTCATCTCACCATAGTCCTATGAGACTCTTAGTACATTCCCATTTTATAGGTATATCCAAGGCTAAGTGTATTTGCTGACCTTCCCAGAGCCACAGTTTCTTCCTGACAATCCAGAATCTGAGAGTAATTCAGGCCCATAATTCCTAAGCTCAAGTGCAGCACAGAACCCACCCAGGGAGGTTTCCAAAATGCATAAATTTGGGCTTCACACCTTAACTCCTGAATGAAAATATCCTAGGGGATGAATGATGGGACAGGACTGAGAGAGATGGATTTTGTAAAATTCATTCAGAGAATCCGTATGGGCACCCAGGTTTAGAACACAGAACTTTGATAGAGGCAATTGCTGTTTTGAAATATTGATGTGCAGATACCTAGTAATGGGATTGGGGGATCAAATGGAAGGTTGACATTTAGCTCTTTGAGGGTTCTCCATCCTTTCTTCCCTAGCAGCTTGCAATCCCACTAGAAGGGTATAGACGTTCCCTTCTCTCCACGTCCACGCCAGCATCTGCAGATTCGGGACTTCATGATGTGGGCTATTCTCACCGGGGTTAGGTGATGTCTCGGGGTGGTTTTGATTTGCATTTCTCATAGGGATGATGAGCATGTGTTTTGGCCATTCATCTGCTTTCTTCAGAGAAGGGCCTGCTCCTAACTCTTCCCCACTTATAACTGGGATTGTTTGTTCTTTTCTCGTTAGAATTCTCTGTAGATCCTGGTTATCAGCCCTTTGTTAAGTTCATAGCATGCGAATATCTTCTCCCATTCTGAAGGCTGTCTGTTTTCTTTAATTGTTGTAGCCTTAGCTGTGCAGAAACTTTTTAGTTTGGTCATGTCCCATTCACTTATTTTTGATATTGCTGCAATTGCCAAGGGGGGCAATGTTGTTAAGAGTTTTCCCCATACTTTCTTCTAGAATTTTTGTCATTTCATATCTAAAATTTAAATCCTTTGTCCAGCGAGAGTCAATTTTTGTTAGTGGTGAGAGGTACATGTCCAGTTTCAGTCTTTTGCATGTGACTAACCAGTTCCTCCAGCACTGTTTATTAATTAGGGATTATTTTCCCCAGTGTATGCTTTTATGCTTTTCTTTGGTTTATCGAACATCCGATGGTGCTATGTAGCAGGGTTCATCTCCAGGTTCTCTAGTGTATTCCATAAATCTATAGCTCTATTTCTGTGCCAGCACCATGCTGTTTTGATCACTGTCAACTTGTAGTACAACCTGAAGTCTGGTAACGTGATGCCTCCAGATTTGTTTTTCTTTCTTAGAATTGCACTGACTATTCAGGATTTTTTCTGGTTCCATATGAAACAAAGTACCATTAAAAATCACTTTACCATAAGGACAGCTGCACTAGAACACTCATGGCAGCTCAATTCACAATCACCCATATGTGGAATCAACCCAGGTGCCTATCAACCCATGAATGGATTAATAAGCTGTGGTATATGTATACCACGGGGCACTATTCAGCCATAAAAAAGATGGAGATTTTACATCTTTCGTACTTACCTTGATGGAGTTGAAGAAAATGCTTCTTAATAAAGTATCACGAAGATAGAAAAACAAGCATCCAATGTACATAATACTAATACAAAACCAACAAATAAACAACTATACCCCCATGAAAGAAAAATATAATAAAATTCGAGTATAGGGGAGGGGAGAATAGAAAGGGGAGAGGGAAGGAGGAAGGGACATTGGTAAGCTCTCGTCACCTGATGGGTACCCTGTAAGGGTGTACAGCACACCCCCTAGGATGAAAGGATCAACTACAACTTGAGCTTTATTTAACAAACACAAATAATGTAAAGCAAACATTGATGTACTAGTTTGGGGAAAGAGATTAATTTAAACCTCCCTAAAAAGTTGAGAAAAAGAAAAAATGCACACTCACATATTCTTCACCTAAATTTACCCACTGTTAACATCCTGCTCTGGGTGTACTTTGCACTGGCTCACACACTCTCTTGCTATCTCTGTATACAGATTTTTATTCTCAGAATTTTCATAGCCACTTGTGAAGCCTTCTAAGGCATCGTAATACTCTACCTCTGGAGAATCCAGCATGTGTTTTTTAAGAATAGGACAGTTCTTCAATATAACCACAATAAAATGTAATCGCAATTCAAATAATCTCTAATATACCATTCCACAGTCAAGTTTCCTCAATGTCACTGAAATGCTGGTTTGTTTAAACCCAGAATCTAATCAAGATGCCTACGTTGTGTTTGATTTTTATGTCTCTTTGTTTTCTTTCATCAGAACATCTTTCTCAACTTCATTTTTTTTTTTAATTCAGGATACTGACTTTTTTTTAAAGTCTAGGGCAGTTGTCCTGTGGAATGTCCCAGGGTCTAGATTTGCCTGACTGTTTCATCATGATTACAGTCAGGGTCAATATTTTGGCAAACAGACCAGATAAATGCTGCTGCGCACCTGCCTTTGCATGGGATCAGTGTACACCTGATACCACCCTGCCCGTTCCTGGCAGTGCTAAGTTTCAGCAAAGTCCCAAGGCAGATACTGATTATTTTATGAGCCAATATTTAAGTTCTGTTTTTCTTAGAGATCAGAGCAAATTTGCAATCTGCCTAACCATGAAATCACTCCCTTTCCATTTTTAATCCAAGTGCATTACTGGGATTCATATATTCCCTACGGGCAGGAAAGGGGATGTTGACATAGACCAGGAGAGGTAGACGAGGGGTTGGCAACGTAATGAGCTAGTTTTTCTTAAAAGAACCATCCTAGTGGGCAGTGCCTGTGGCTCAAAGGAGTAGGGTGCCTGCCCCATATACCAGAGGTGGCAGGTTCAAACCTGGCCCCGGCCAAACACTGCAAAGAACCATCCCAGTTTTAATTTTATATTCTATTTATGAACCTCTGATATAAATTACAGCTTGATAGGAGGAATACATTACATAGCACTGTACAACAAGTATAATTAACAACAACTTACTGAATATTTTCAAGAAGTGAGAAGACTGGACTTTGAACATTCCCAACACAAAGAAATGATAAACGTTTGAGGTGATGGATATGCTCATTACCCTGATGCGATTTTTAGACATGGAACACATGTATTAAAATATCACACTGTACCCCACAAATATTTATGATTTATTGTGTGTCTATGAAAATAACAATAAAAGCAAGAAAAAGAGAGGAAGGACCATCTTGAGCTCACTGAGCCTCTGGCTGCACTAAGTTGTCACTGCCTTTCCTGGTTTGGGCTCGGGGACAGGGAAAAGTTCCTTTGCAAGTCTAGCTGATTGAAAATACTGGCCAAATCATACCTCTTCATCGAGCAGCCTTTCTGTACAGTCCAGCCTCTTGTGTGTACTGTTTTCATTTGTAACAGTGCCCTGGCAGTTCTTGGAATGCCAAAAAGATTATAATCACAGACGTCTGACAGTCATTGTCACCCTGAAATGATGGGTATTTGGTCTTAAGCTTTCTGATCTTGGATTTCAAAGGGAAGCATCACCAGCATTTTCACCATGGTCCAAAACTTAGACCAGGGGTCCTCAAGCTTCTTAAACAGGGGGCCAGTTCACTGTCCCTCAGACCATTGGAGGGCAGGACTGAGGGCCCCGGGACAAGCCGGCTGCTAAGCAGGACAGGCAGCGGCAGCAAAAACACCCAGCGGGCTGGATAAATGTCCTAGGTGAGCCGCATGTGGCCCGCGGGCCGTAGTTTGAGGACACCTGATAGACCCTAAAGATGAAAACATCCAGAACAGCGATAGATACTACCTAGCCAGGGAGGAAGAGGAAGAATAGCCAATGAAATCTAATAAGATATTTTAAAGGCCGGGGACAAAATTCTAAATGATTGACATGCGTAAGTGTATTTTATATTTATAAACACACACATATATACACACTCACCCAGAGATGTAGAAACCTACACATATACATGTATAGACACTCAGACATCTACGTCTGTGTATACGCACTCATTTTAATGGCACTGCTTTTAGAAAGATAGAAAAAACCTTGATTGACTTATTATATTCAATTATTAGGAAATTTTGCAT